AAAATTCCTCACTAAAAAAAAAAAAGAAAAAAACTTCTTGGAGACTTTGTTCATTAAAAAAAAATTTTTAAATTCCAGTATTAGGAAATTTATATAATCCAGAGTTGTGTTTCTTTCAATTACTAATAGACTCTGCTATTAACCAAAACTCTCACCCAGAGAAGTGTAAAGACTTTGCTTAGATTTTAGGAAAGAAGGGACAGGGAGTTAACCTAAATTTCCACGGATTCCAATTCACTTTTCTTTCGTTTGCCAATTTTCCCAATCTCCAGAGTCGGGGTCCTCTAGCAGCAAAAGTGCTCAAGACAGGTACGTGAGGGAAAGGTGAGTGGGAGCAGCACTGCTCTGGTTGCTCTGCGGCCCTCTTAATTACTCATTTCGCTCACCGCTCCTCTGCCCCTCACGTCATCACACACTGGCATCTCTCCACGTCTTCCGCGCACACCGCTCACCCTCAGGTTCCCAAGCCTCTGTACTCTTGCCCTTCACCCGGACCCGCACTCCAGTCCCCTCATCTCCGACCACTTACTCACCCGACAGAGTCGGCGAGGCTTCTCCCCTTCAAGCACCATCATCCGGGTCTGCATCGCCACCCACACGACCCCCTATTCCCATGTCCCTAGCGGCCCGGCTCCAGCCACTCACCTGGTCCTCGCCCCGCAACCGTGGCCGGTCCCCTGGCAGCCCATCGCCTTCATCGCTGGCGGGGTCCCCGGGCCCCTCGTAACCCAGGACATGAGGGCAGCCACGGAAGGCGAAGTCTTCGAGCTCCCGCAGAAGGCGCTGCTGCTCCGCCGGCGCCCCGCGCACCACCTGGCGCAAACGGAACTGCACCTGCGCGAAGTGCGAGGACAGCGCCAGCAGCGCCGAGTCCAGCCGCCGCCGCTCGGCCCGCAGCCGTCGCAGCGTCCGGCCCGGCGAATCCGGCGGGGAGCCGGGGGCCGCGCCAGGCTCCTCGGCCGCCGCCTCTTCCAGAAACGCAGTTGCCCCAGGCCGGGCCTCCGCCACAGCCCCCACTGGGGCCCAGCGCACCGCCTCGCACGGTGGCAGCGGTTCTTCTTCCTCCTCCTCTTCGTCTTTCGCCTTTGGCTGAACAGCCGCCACCACCATTACCCGCTCCGCAGCCGCTTCGACAGCCGCCATCTTCCCGGAAACGCCGCTGCACGTCAGCCGCGCCCCCCCCTCCCGCTGCCATGGCAACGGTGCGGTGGCCTGGAACCCCGGAATAGCGGCGGGCGGGGCCTGAAGTTCCGAAGTCCCTGGGGCGCGGCTTCCTTGGGGATTTAATTCAGGCCAATAATGTTTTCTTGAGCGCCTATTGTGAATCGGGCACTTAGCGCTAAGCCTGGGAGAAACAGGTGAATGTAACTGGGGAAAAGTCATTCCCAGTGTGTAGCGTCTAGGGCAGCCTTTGCCCTGGTTCCTGCAGGTGGGTTGTCTGTTCCTAGTCTGTGCATTTCTGAAGACCCCAGGGTGACGCGCTGCAAGGACTAAGCTCTCCCAGAATATCTCCAGAATGCAGATCCCTTGGCTGTCAGGTCGCTTTCTCCCTTCCTCTCAGCTGTTCTCCCGACCATATAAGGAGAGGCAGCAGCTGGGGGCGTCCTTAGGATCTAAAGATAGCGTCCCTTGCCCAGAACTCTAAATGCCACCCTGGAGCGGGAGCCGCAATGGCACGGTGAGTTTCCGGCTCCGGTGCTCCCCCTGGCCCTTTTCCCTGGAGAGTCCCTGCTCCAGGCCTTCTCCTGGGCGCTCCAGGTTCTGTGAGACTCTATGGGAACCCCAGACCCCTGGTCTCTGTAACTGTGGGGTGAGGGGTGGTGTGACCTGAATGTTCTCCCTGACGCCCTACTTCCCTAGTCTTGCACTTTATATTCTTCCCAGGTTCACATTCACCACACCCACCCACTCCGGTCTTTCCCTTCCCTCCCCGCCCCCCACCTTATTTAGATCCACTTTGAAAAAACTGTGGCATCCCTGGGCACGGTGGCGCGTGCCTGTAGTCCCAGTTACTCGGGAGGCTGAGGTGGGAGGATCGCTTGAGCCCAGGAGTTCTGGGCTGTAGTGCGCTATGCCGATCGGGTGTCCGCACTAAGTTCAGCATCAATATGGTAACCTCCCGGGAGCGGGGGACCACTAGATTGCCTAAGGAGGGGTGAACCGGCTCAGGTCGGAAACGGAACAGGTCAAAACTCCAGTGCTGATCATTAGTGGGATTGCGTCTGTGAATAGCCACTGCACTCCAGCCTGGGCAACATAGCAAGACCCCGTCTCTTAAAAAATAA